TAAAAGCAAATAAACAAAGTTCATTTCCCTTTAGCCTTTGGAAGTCTGGGATATTGGAGTCTGCTGTGTTAGTGTCAAAAACTTCAGAGCTGAAAGTAAACCCACTTGCTTTTCTGGTTGGCAATATGCCATCCATTTCTCCGTTTGTTTGATTTAAGTGTATGTCTTCCCTTTGGCCCATTATCTTGGCAGAGAAGGAAATGAGAGCGGGAAAATTTCACACTGATTTCCATTTCTGAGCATTGAGAGTGAAGTTAGCAAATTTCTTAGTAAGTTTATTTCAAGTCATCGCTTTGAAAGTCTGGGGATGTCTGGATGGACACATTCACATGAAATTTCTCTAGCTATGTCGCCACCTTGTGTTTCTTCTGTGAACTTCATTGCGGGAAACAGTTTTCTCTATGGGAGCTAAGAAAGTAGCTCTCCAATTTCAGCACATCTAAAGTGAGTTTTGAATCCTGTAGCCACTGCCAGTATAGATGAGAAAATGGTAGAGAATTCTGTAACAACAGGTATATTTAATACGTGTTTGTAATCCTGGTGGGGGCCACAAATATGAGTCATCAAGACTATATTCATAGATCATTTATAGAGTTCATTTTGTAGCACCATAGCTTCATTCCTGACAAAACTGACATAAAAATATACTTAATATTCCATCAGGCTTAAAACCCTCCTATTTAGACAAAAAGGGAAAATGTAACGGCATCTTGCTTTGCCAGTGAAGTTTCCGTAGTGGCCACACCTATGGTGTGGCTTCAGGTATCCAGACATGACCCCTTATAAGGAAAAGTAGGGGCTGGCTCACTCTCTTGGATTGTGGTGAGAGCATCAAAAGGGCAGAGACTGCATTTTCTGGAGCAGGAAGACCATGGTGGTTATTTACTATTATTTGAGTAAGTGCTTCCCTAATAAATACCCATTTCTCTCATTTAAATCCCACCTTCACCTTGGCCCCACAGCCTTTGGAAAATATCGAAGATGCAGATTCTGCCTCACGTGTCAGAGTGTTTGAAAGGTGACACCACAAACCCCTCTGTGGCCACATGGCCCTCAGTGTGCAGTCACTGGTGTGTCGGATTGTGTTTCGACCGCTATAATTCATCCCGATTTCCTACAAGTTGCCCATGTCTGTGTTGTTTAGAGGTCAGTGGCTTATGCATTAGTTTTGCCTAACCTAGGAACCAATGATCTGTATGTAGGCTGCATAGCATGGTCACTGTTCAGCTGGTTTTCAGTCCTGATACTCTATGTTCAGGCTCTGATTTCAGACCCCACACTGAGGGGTATATGGATGGATTATAGAAGCTCAGAGCTCCTCTCCATCCAGTGATCTCAGACTGGTCCACTCCCAGCCTCAACTGCAACCTATGAGCTAAGTTTCATGAAAGTGCATCTCTGTTCTGTTTTTCTGCTACAGGCTTTGACACTTCTGCTTGTAAAGACATTGCTTTTCTCCTTCAACCCACTGAAGGCCAATTAAAGATTGTAGGACTAGAGATGAAACTTGGCAGTAGAATTTGTACTTTCCATGCGCCAAGACCTGAGATGGATGCCCATCCCAGAGGAAAAACAGCAATGAACACAGAGATAAAATTAGCTGAAAGATACTGGGATATTACAAGAGGCCACACTCATGATAGAACTGGAAGCTTCAGCTTCCTCTACTTTCTAATAAACACACCTCTTCTAAGGACACATGGGATATGATTCATCAGAAGATTAGCTTGGATGAGCTTGGAGAACTATAGGTAAAATCTAAAGAGATTTGCCTGCAAGAAGGCTCCAAGGTTATCAGAAGAAAGCATAATCAGGCTAGAACTCTGGAGAGAAGAGTAGGGAAATTATGAGGCTGGAGCTTGAAGAAAGGCCAGATATAGTTAATTAGAGAAAGAAGAAACTTGGGGAATAAATAACCAGAAGTTAGTAGTCAATTCAATGCGGAGACCAAAGCAGACAAAGAAACAATGGTGCTAAACTTTTTAGAAGAGATGTTGGATAGACACCAAAGAAAAATTCAAGAAGGTGATCATTTTATAAGGGATTTAGATGATGCCAAAATGTGTGTACTCTTCTCCAACACATGACATGTTCAGGAGAATCTGAAAGTGTGGCTTCCCCTTAATTTTGCATGCTAAGTTATTATCTGCTGTGGTGGGACTGAGAAAAACAGGCTCGGCCTCTCCTGAGTTACTGCTCTATGAAATACCAGCTAGGGCTGTGTCCAGTTTGAGTGACTCCATTTTATAAATCTGCAGGCTTTACCAGTGCTATCCCATTTTGAGTGTAAGAAAGACTGAGTCTACATTCTGCTTACAGATGTAATGACCAGGCACACCAGCGCATCAGGAGGCACAGACTGGTCATTTGTTCCAAGCATTAAGGACACCTGAAAATGTATGAAATATTATGATGAACATTGGATCATGCACCGATCAGTTGCACCCTCCTCTTTATCTCAAGGTGTAAAAGGAGCACCCCAAGACCAAAGCAGGAAAGGCAAGCTGACTGGTCACCCAGTCACTTGTCATCAGCCTCATTCAGAAAAAGTGAGACAGAAAAGGACTCATGCATCAGTCCCCAGCTTGAGTTCAGCTACTTCTGCCCATGACATTATGATCCACTTTAAGCTGACCCTGTGGCCTTCTTTCAGTACCTGCATTTGACATCTGACCCGAACAGCTCTGTACCAGTGCTTGGCTAAGACTTCTCATCTGTCCTCTACGTACTGTTCCTGTACACCTGCATCATCATCATCATCATCATCATCATCATCCTCTTCCTCCTCCTCCTCCTCTCTCTCTCACTCTGTTAGGACAGCACCTCTCTTCTCTGCAGCCTCATTATCCCTATTCTTAGTCATTCTGTAAAATGCATAGCAGTGCATTATTGTGCATGATCTACAAGGTAATATTAGCAATTAAGGTAGAATGAGAGAACCTGTGACTGCCAATGGGCAGGCCAGCTATCAAGCAAAATCATAGCCAATGAATCTAAATAGCAATTGAATTTGCTGTTATTCGACGCATTCTGACATTGTAGAAAGATACAAATAGGTTTATACTTTTCACACAGCACACTCAGAGCAAGGCTTCTCACTGGATAAAGGAGTTTCTCTTTTATTCCTCATGGATTTATGTATATTAGCGTCTTCAGGTATAAAAACATTACCTGGTTACTATTTTTTCTTATCATGCAGAGACTGACCTTATAGGTTTTAGTCATGAACTCTACCACTGAGCTATGTTAGCAGCTCACAATTTTTTCAAGGAAAATCTCCCTATGTATCTGAGACTGCTTTGAGCTCATTACACAGCCTAGGCTGGCTTCAAACTTTGTAATTCCTTGCCTCTTTCTCCCAGGTACTGGAATCTCCTCTTTCTCAACCCCTTCCTCCTCTTTCTCCTCCTTCCCTGCCTCCTCCTGTCTTTCTCCTCCCCCTCCATTTCCTCTTCCTCCTTTTCTCCCTCCCTTCCTCTCTCCCTGACCTGACCTATAATCTCCCTCCTTTGGCTCCGGCACCCCATAAGCTACGTCTCCATCCCAATATTCTTTCTTAAAGCAGCAGCATTTATTAAATCCTTTGGTGAGATGTTCTGGAAAGCTGATGTGTGTGATGTGCTGAGTCACCAGGATTCTCAGCGGCTCCTACAGGAGAATAAACTGCAACAGCACAGCAACAGAAATGTCACCAAGGACAGCACACCCTGTTCTTCTCTAGCTTTTATTTCATTGAATCACAAAACTTTCATTTAGCATTTGAGATCTTTATTTCAGAATAGGGGGAAATAGCAATAGCTTCAGTAGGCTTAACAGTTTCCCACAAGAAAACAGAGACTGCGCGCGTGCACGTTCGTGCGAGAGAGAGAGAGAGAGAGAGAGAGAGAGAGAGAGAGAGAGAGAGAGAGAGAGAGAAGAGTGGTCCCACCCAAAGACATCTGTATAAGGAAACACCCCACACAAGGCAACAAACCCATGGGCCTGCAGAGATCTGCAGGACAGAAACTAAACACTAAGCACTCATGAGTGCATCCTGAGGCTTCAGAGACCCTAGCATGCATGTGTGGAGGTGTTGTGAACTTTTTAAGATCCCTGATATCTACAGGGCTTCTTATAGAACCATAGAAAGGCAGACCTAGAAATACAGAGCTTGTAGGAGCCCGTGCACCTCAGTTGTAGTTGGTGTGCTTTCTGACTCTTCTTTAGTCAATGAGGCCATTCTTTCTGTTCCCTCCACTTTTAGTCAACTAGTATAACTCACTACCCTGCACTTACCTCCCTGGCACTTATATAGGAGACAATTTCATTTAAACCAGATATCAATGACATAGCTTGAAAAAATCAAAATAGGCCCCCTTTTTATTTGTTTTGATCTTTCTGGCCTTTTTTTGTTTTTGTTTTGTGTATAGTTCTGGGGGTTGAATCCAGGGTGTCTCCCACTCTGCTGTACCACTGAGCTCATTCCTAATGTACCTAGTCCATTTTAAAATTTAAACTTTTGTTAGAGTTCTCATTAAGTATCCCAGTCTTGACTTGGTCTCTTTTTGCAGTCCACATGGACTCTGAACCTGACATCATCCTGCCTCAGCCTCCAGGGATCACAGAACTGTCCTGGACTACCACACCTGGCCTGAAAGTAACTGCTGTTATGACCTTCACAAACTAACTATTCCATCACTTGTTTGTTTCTTATACACAAGGCTCTAAATGATCAGTGTCCAAGTTTTAATTCTTATAAAGCCAAGGAGAGCAATATTGTGTAGGAAACTACTAGAGCAGAGAAACTTCCTATTTGGACATTCAATTAAAACCCACTGGAAAAATACACAAATTTTCTGGAGCTTACAATTTGTGCTATAGGCTGTGGGTTCTATGGCTAAACATTAACAGAAAGAAACTGTTTCTCTTGAGCATTTTCTATCCAGATAAAGAATATTTGGAAAAACAGCCAAAATCTGTTTAGCAGACATCAAGGCTGGGGAGAGCTGCATGGAGAATCTTCATCCCAGTCTTGCACAGCCGTTTTGGATATCCAGTTTCAAGTTCTAAACAGAAGCAGATGGTTAACAATGAGTTGTTTTCTACAAAATCTGTAAACATGTATTTCAGTCCTTCTTTCATATCTGCAAATTAGAATGAGATTCTATTTTACTAATTTAAAATTATTTACTTTTGTGTGTGAGAGACAGAGAAAGAGGGGTGGGGAGCTCCAGTGTGTGTATACCACAGTACAGCTGTGCAGGGGAGAGGACAGCTTTAGGGAGTTGGCTCTCTCCCTCCACTATGGGTTCCTGAGATGGAACTTAGGTATCTGGGTTTTCACAGCAAGCACCTCTCCTGCTAAGTCTTCTCACTGATCTATTGTTCTGTTTTTATCCACACCCCTTAGATGGTAGTCATGGTTACTTATGCTCTAAAATGAATGGGCCAATCACAACAGAAAGATGGTGAAAGAGAAAAGGCAGAAGTTCAGAAATATAGGCAAGAAATAGTTGTTCTGTTTCTTAGACATTTTTTAAAGAATTGTTTCCAAAATAGACATAGTCATTCAAAGGAGACAGTGCCCTTCACCCACTGTAACTGCTTGGCTTGGTAAGAAAAATCTTTAGTAATGGAAGAATTTAGTAAGCAGTGTTCCCTTGCCATGGTAACCAGCCCACCATGCCCTATAAAGTATATCAAGGAATCCCAATTTGTGGGGATGGCCAATAAAATCTGAGAGAAAGCTCTTATTTTGTTATTTCTAGAAAATATTGTGCATCCAACACTTAAATTTTAGCTTGTTCCTTCCACTAAGCTTAAATGTCTTAGTGTAAATATACATTGTAGCGTACTATATAGAAATTTCTGTGTGTCTGTGTACACATGATTTCAACCATCCTGTCATCTGGTAAGAGCAGAGTATGTCTCTAGTCAGTGAATGGCTAGGTAAGGGACACTGAAGAATGCCAACATTTGAAAATTTAAATAGGGATGTACTCCCTGTCCCAGGTACCTACCACATTATCACTTTGCTTGGGATCTGCAATTCCTCTTGAGTCCTTGCTGATAGATTTCTATAACACACAATGTATACTTTATCAGGAACTGAACCCGCTATTGTGAACAGGATACACATACACATGCATGCACATGAGCACACACACGGCAGACTGCTTCTTGCTCCATGGGGGTGGGGACCATCTAAGGCAGTTCAAGAATAATTAATGGAAGGGAAGGCTAAGGAATTTCTGCTTAGGGGAAGGTCTCATGAGAAGCCACGCAGTTCTACCGAAGTGTGTGAATCTCCAAGAATATGTTATATAAGGGAATTTTCAAGCACATCTACTGAAACCCACTAGAACCATCTTTGATATGGACCACACAGCTTCTGCAGTTGGAAATTTGCGTGCACAGCTTTTTAGGCACAATACCAGATCTTTTTTGTGATGCCAAAGAGCCCCAGGCAGAAGTACCCTGATGATGGCCTCTTGGTCATCCACTTAGGGAGAACGACTGCTTTTAAACTGCAGATCTGAGAATCTTGATGTACATACATCTCCAAATGTGAAGTACCTTCCTGATAGACTTTGAAGATGCACAAGGATCTGGGCCATTAGTAGAGAATCTGCAATAATTCTTTGTTTTTGCCATCCTGGTTAACTGAGAGTCCAGAGCCCTGGAGCTAATCAAGTCCTCAGTAAATTTCACATCATTGTGTTTCTACCCCTCAAAACTGGGCCAGGATTGGGGTGATGAGTAAGACATTCATTTAAAAACAGTGTAAATAGCAAAAACAAACACAACAATTATAGTGATTAATACCAGCTAGACAATTTTTGAACACGCACCGAAGGACTCCAAACCCTACTAGGGAGGGTTCTCAGACATCCATTATAATGTTGCAATATTCAAAACAAGAAAGTGGAACCAGCCTATGTGTCTGTCAACAGATAAATGAGGCAACAGAAACATAGTCATATACACAATGGAATTGTATACAGTCATAGAGAAAAATAAAATCATGAAATTGGCAGGAAGGCAGATGGATCTGGAAATTACTTCAGTAAGTGAATTAACGCAGACTCAGAAGCACAGATATATCTCATGTGTTTCTCCTATAAGGACTATGGCTTTAACTTGGCATTTGGGGGTGGCTATAGATCACAAAATAGAAAGAGTGCTTGAGACGGGAAAAGTGGGTTTTAAGGAGAGAGGTGGGAGGAGACAGTAGTAGAATACATATGACCCAAAGTAGAAAGATGACCACTGGGGGTGGTGAAGGGGTACAAGATTGGGCAATGAGGGTGAGAAGCAGAACAAAGGATGTCTTAAAAGGCCATACTGAAACCCATAGCCATGTATTCTAACTATCAGAAAAGTTTTCTCAATCACACTTAACCAACAAGTATTTATGACCAATTATGAACATTTTAAACCAAGTGTGTCCTCAGGAGTGCAGAATCTTTTAGTTCTCTTCTGCTTAGCACCACCAGGATAAGCACATGTTCATACTAGAGTGAGTTAGTCATATTTCAACCCAATTTCTGGGTGATGTTACCGGATCTTCTCAAGAAACTAATAGTAGTTAAGTGACAATAAAACAATAAATGGGATGTATGCAAATGGACACAAACAACCTATGGAAGGGACATACCAGTGTGATGTAGTGAGGACTTGAAAAGCTGGATGGAAGGCTTTCCAGGGTCTCTGCTGTACTCTGTTGATGAAAAGATATTATTATCCTGCAATTAGTACTCAAGAAAGGACCACACTTTCCAAGATCACAGGATGTATTTCCTGGGACATAGATCCAGGAAATGTACAAATAAAAAAAGATGTAGAAACAGTAATCTCCCTTAGATTTCTGGCTTACAAGTGAGCATATATACCATCTGTTCTATAACGAACACCCATGAGAGAAGATGGAATCTTCTCAGTATTCTGTAGCCTGAGTAGCATGAGGTGGGTCTGCTGGTCTCCAAATCTCAAAATTTCTGTTCGCAATCTGAAAGGCCACAGCTACTTACATTGTTATGAACCCAGATGCTCTTTGGTTGCTCCCAAACTGCCTGTGAATATACAGATGTACTCAACTGAGGTGCCCCTATTTAAATTACCTTCTGTTAACTCCCCAGGAGACAGTGAAACAACTAGAAGGCATGGCCCAGCAGAAGCAAAAACGTGGAAGGCACTCCCTTCCAAAGAGAAAAAGCCAGGCATCATTCATTACACACACCCAAAACACACACACAACCGCACACAAACACACAGAGAGAGAGAGAGAGAGAGAGAGAGAGAGAGAGAGAGAGAGAGAGAGAGAGAGACTAAAGACATCTTCTCCAGACCACAATTTTGATGAGGATCAGCCTTCCATGGAGGGTTTAATATGGTATAAAAACCATTATTAAAACTGTTATTATTCACATAATTCTATGATAAATAATGTAAAATCGTAAGTAAGGGATTTAAGAGCTCACAGCTTCCTGTAAAGTCCATAAAACTCCTTCATAGTGCATGCATCATCAGTGTTAAGCTGAATCATTCTGGTTCTCAGCAAATTTCTCTTCTTAGAATATTCTACTTAACCAAAAATGACAAAAAGTCATTAAGGATCTTGTAATATTGTTTTGTTTTGTTATTGAGACAGGATCTCTTATAGCTGAAACTGGCCTTGAAGTCTAGATTCTCCTGCTTCCATCTCTCAAGTGATGAGATCACAGGCACATACAACTGTACCAAACTTAAACTTGCAGCCTTGACAAGTACTACAATTATGTCCCAGCTCCACTTAAATCCTGGACTGGCTTCTCTGACAATTGCCCCACCCTCACCCTGAGGATTAGAGAACTTCAATTTGACTGTTAGCTCATGAAATGCACGTAATTTACACACATTAAGGAAACTGTAATTAAAAGAGCAACTGCAAAGCATGTAAGACATAGTAGATAATTAACATATAGTAAGTGCTAAATATACACCAGACACTTAACAAAGTATATAGACTTTTTCAGTTAAACCTGGGGTAACTACATAAGATTGATACCAAGCATCATATATTGTCGTGCCAGAAAATTATTCATGTACATTTAGAAAATTATCATACACTATTCTCTGTGCATAAAACAGACAATTAAGATTTGTATTTAACCATATCAGCATTAACAATGACATAGTGAAAGGCACAAATTGATAAAGATATTAAACTATTTTATAGAAGAAGAAAGATGAATTATTGATGCCTAAATATTCCAGTGGAAATCAGAAGTATTTTTTTGTTTTGTTTTTGTTTTTGTTTTTCCCAGTGGCCTGTTAGCATCATGAGAGTGGGGAACAGATATTCTGTAAATATTAGACAAAACCCAGAATTTTTGGAAGCAAAACATCTGGACAAATATATAGAACTGTACCATCAGACTTACACCAAAACCCTCAAAGTTCTAAATTTTAAAATACTGGCATCATAAACTGAAGCAGTTGTTGCTCTTTCAGAGGGCCTAGGTTTGGTTCTAGTACCCACATGGTCCCCCGCAACTGTATGTAACTCCAGTTTCAGGGATTCCAGTGCCTTCTTCTGGCCTATGTGGCACCAGCCACATATGGTGTATATACAAACCTGCAGGCAAAATACACTCACAAAATTAAAAAAAAAAACTCTTTAAAATGATTTATCATTCTATTTTTATTGGCACTGTATCTAGTAACAGTTGACTGATAACAAAAAATATCTCTCCATTCTTTCCTTAAGACTTGGGTCCTAATGGGAATTTTATCATTTTGGGGGGCAATCTTATTAAGAATGGCATCAGTTACTTGTATTAAAACACAGAATGCCTGGCAAGATGTAATAGCAGAACATGGCTATAATTCTAGCACTCAGGAGGCTGCAGAAGGACAGCCTTGAATTTGAGCCTAGCCTGGGCTGTTTTTCATTTAATATGGGAGTTCCTTAGAGCTTAATGCTAAAGTTCCAATTGAGAATTTTTATAGTTCCTTTCTGTTTTTTATTTCTAATATAATATTATTTTGAGAACATAATTTATATATGATTTAAACTCCCATGGATTTAATACAATTTGTTTTATATACTAGAATATAACTTAAATTTGTAATTTTTTCCATTAGTTCATGAGGTAATATTTTATTTAGTAAGTACTTTCTGCTTTGGAATAATCTTGGTTATTGTAAATGCCCCATTCTGCCTTCCTCACCGCCCCCCACTTACCTATACAGTGAAAGCTTCACTTGTATAGATCGCCTCATTAAATGGCTTCTAAGCATCTCCCACTTCACTTAGCTTAGGGTGAATTCCGCATTGAAAACTTACTTGCCAGAGAGGCAGGGCCAGTGAGATAGCTCAGTTTGCAAATGTGCTTAGGCTTACACAAGCCAAAAGACTCAAGTTCAACCCCCCAAACCTACCTAAAGCTGGAAGGAAAGAACTGGCTCCATGAAGTTGTCTTCTGATCTCTCTCTACACAGACAGGCAAGCAGACAGACAGGCGGAAGGCAGGCAGGCAGACACCCACACACACACACACACACACACACACACACACACACGCACACACACACTTATAGCGGACAGGCAGACACAACACCATACACAAATATATATAGATTAATAATAATAAATAGAATACCTCAATAATAAAAATTCATGACCATAATGCAACAGCTCATTAACTGTCACAAGTGAAAATATCTCACATGTAGGGGATGGATATCTGTCAGGATTGGTTCACTCCTTGTATGGTGCTCATCAGGGAAGTATGCTTTATTCTCCACTCCATGCATTTCTCTAGGAGAGCTGCAAAGAGGGAAAAAGGAACATTGACACCCGCTCTTGGAATAGACAAGTGATTATAGTTAAACCACATATGATGTTTTTATGTGATGTGTAGCTTGTACCGGTGATAATTTCATTGCAATAGCTCAGAGGTAAAGAGGTTTGAGGACCACAGGATAAACATTTGGATATGAACAAGCATGTAAAAATTTGATTGGGTATTCTTATCTGTTCTTTAGGACTAGACTCAGACCACCCCACAATGATAAGTTCTGAGGCCACAAAATTAATGTATATTTAGTGATGGCCTCCTGTGACACAGAATACGCAGACATACTTTTGAACTTGCTTCATCTTGATGCATTTCTGGTAACGAACTAATAATAAGACGAGTCCAACACCAATAATGACCATGATAAGCACAATGGCCATGACAGAGACACCTACAACACAAAAACAAACAAACAGAATTTCAGCTGCACTTCAACTTTGGGAAAGTAGAATTTATAAACTCATTTCTTCCCCAAAGGATTTTAACTCCTGCCCTCCAACATGACACAAATTACAATCTCTATTAACAATTAACAATTAACAATTAACAATTAACAATCCACTCCAAGATTCCAGGATGCTTAAGGAAAGCCATAGTCATCAAGAAAACTTTGGTTAGTTATTAACCAACTATGGATAAGGCCCCATTGTGTTCAGAAGTCACAACTGACAGTTGACTAGAAGATGCATCAATTCTAAAATGTAAATGTAGTAAATAAAGGTTGGCTCTCCATACATAGAAAATAGTAAGATAAGACCATAAAAACCTGTGTAGAAACACAATAAATACATGACAGAGGAGACAAAGCTTTCTTGGTGGTAGACTTTGAACATGTGTGAGAATCGCATTCCTTACTGGTAAGGTTTAAAGCTTCTCCCCAGTCAGTTATTATTGACTCATCCTCACACTGGCATTCATGTCCTTGGTCATCCATCTGGAAGAACAGTCAATCATGCATTGTATCGTTATTGAGTGACTGAGAAAAGCTATGCTATGCAGCTCATTTATGTTAATGTTAGTTTTACATCAGTCCCACACATCCATATATGCATTCCTATAGATATTTAATACTTGAAAGAGTATCTGATATGTATCTTAATACATTTTAAGTGATAATTTGGATTAGGGATGATGATGTTCCACCCAGATATAAACCAATAGCATTGATCAGTGTTGAACTAAAAACAAATTTAGAATTTGTATATTTTTACAAAACCTTTAGGCTCATGTTGATACTGGTGGAATTTAAGTGACCTCAAGAAAAATTTAAATTTAAATTTCATATTAAGTTTATATGTATATACAAAATAGATTTCTAAATTATATATATATATATATAATAAATTATTTGCCTGTAACATTGGCAGTGTCTATGTTTAATAATATCTGAGGTGGCCCTTTGCACTGATTTTATTGATAATATATAAAATGTAAATACAATATATAGCTCTTTAAAAGAATAGGTATACTTCCACACGGGCTCAAGAACGAAGACTAAGTTAAGAAAAAAAAGGTTGGTGATAAAGTACTTTAAGAGGCAATGAAATCTTACATCATTTTCATTACACTGGGAGGAGCAGCTGGTTGAATTGTAGGCCTTTTCCATTTGTACACATTCACCATTGCTACAAACCTAGAAAGGAAGTAACCAACTGGCATGAGTTAGAGTGACACAACTTACAAGATGTGCGATTTTACAAAGTGACAAATGAAATTATACATTCCTTCCTATGTGTCTTTCTTTTAAAGTCCCAAATCTGATTTATTAGACATCAGAAAAATATTAACAGTTTTAGACTGTGCATGAAAGTTGTTTCTCTGTGGAATCTTTCTTCCTTCTTATGTGTCTTAATCGCATGATTGAGGCAGCACTAGGGCAGATTACTTTCACATCTGTGACACCCATGTCAATCTCCCTGCAAGGGATCACAAGCTCAACTAAAGTACAAAACTGAGAAAATATCTTGCTTTGGTTTTGCCATCTTTGGGTGTTTAGTCAAAGATAAACACAAAAACAGCTTTGCAATTCTCCTGTACCAATAGCTTCTCTCTGTGTCTCTGTCTCTGTCTCTGTCTCTGTCTCTCTCCATCTGATCTCCTTTCCTGTTCATTTATTCTCCAATCTTCCACCATTCCTTTCTCCCTCCTCTTCTCATTTTTTTTCTGTTAGTACTGTACTCTAAACAAGCAGATAGTAACCAAGGAGCCCTGTGTTGTGTTTATATAGGAATTTCTTTCTAAAAAAGTCTTTTCTGTACTCTGATGTTTTTTGAAGAATTATTCATACTAATGAAGATAGTAACTCAACCTAAGTACCCTCCAATAAATGGATGGGCAAAAAAGTGTGCCAAAAATATAATGGAGTATAACTTAGCTGCAAAATAGATAAAAGGAAGCATTTGTGTCATCTTGGATAAGTGTGGGAGTCAGATAATGTAGACACAAGTTGGAGATTCTCAAGAAAATGTGAAAGCTAAAAATTTTGAACTTAAGGAAGCAGACAGCTGTGGCTTCCAGAGGCTTGTGGGGTGGTCAGGAGAAGGAAAAGGGCAACTCCAGTTATTATATTTGTTATTATATTTAAATTTTCAATTGACCAGGAAGAATGATTTCTAGTGGTCCATATAGCAGAATGCTTGTAATTAATAATAACCTACTGTATATTTTAACATAGTTAGAAGAGAGGATTTTGGATGTTCCCAACATAAAGAAATGGTCAGTTATTAAAGTGGTGTCTATCCTAATTACTCAGATGTGGTTACTACTCATTGTACATATGTAATGAAAGATTATACTTATACTGTACCCAACAAATATGCATAATAATTAACTATGGGTCATAATAATTGCTAAAATCCAGAATATAGAGTAAAAAGCCTTTCTTGTTTTCTCTCTGTTAAAAAAAATGTGTAGCAAGTCAAGCTGAAATCTGAGTGGCCACAATACTCTGTGGGTAGCCATCTCTCTTCCTTTAGATCAAGTATGCACTTGTTTCCACACCACCAGGAAAGCATTTCAGTGGCCATGTTCTGCATATGACATTCTCAAGTGTGCTGGTCTATAGGCCATGGGAATGCAGCCTAATTACCAAAAACATAGTCATTAGTCAGTAAATATGGCTGAATGAATAAAATAAATGAAGAGGGATTGCTGACATCAGTAACATTAATTGGAATAGAATTCATGTATGATTTCATTAAATTCCCATTTTAAGAAACCAATTAAGCATATTTATAACAATTAAATATAATTTAGTATAAGTACAATCAAGCAGGAATACTATTACCATATTATCCTTACCCTCTCCCTCAATAATTTACAAGAAAAGTGGCTCTCTCCCCCTTTTTTCCTGTCTCCCATATAGTAGTCTGTCTGGAGCCAATCCCAGAAACCCATGATGTTTGTGAGCAACTGTCCTCTTACCATTCCCTCTCCACATTTTGTTCCAGAAGTAACCAGGCCAATGTCTCTAGAATTGTGGTATAAAACCGTGGTTTTGCATTTGATGGTCACATTCTGTTTGGGATTCTTAAGGTTATATGTCTTATCCTCTCCAAGGAGAGTTGAACGCTGCCCTCCAGTACAGAATATCTTCCCACATTTGAGATCACTGAAGGAAAAGCAGAATGTTCTCATACTTAGGATCAGTAACCATAGCAAAGGGTCATAGATGAGACAATCAGCCCTGCTGCTTTTGTCTAAACCCCATTTGTAAACAGATTCCAGCGCCGTGGAAGGCTGAGAGGAGCTCTCCCACATTACAGCCCCAACTCTAAGAACGGACGTGAATTGATAAAGTGTGCCAAATAATTGTGGAAAGATTCTCACTTCTCAAAACTCAATATTCATTAAAGCTCATGAAGAGTATCTATTAGTGAGCTGGATTAGCATGACTTTACCTAAGGAACACTAAGAACCATTCTTCCACTATTGATATTGACTATTTCTAGCAATCCTGGGGGCCACTACTCTTGCCACTGTTCAGAGGGGCAGTCACTGAAAGTAAGTAATTGAGAGTGGAGTGAAGGACACTCTGTTTTCACATGCTGTGTATGGAAAGGAAGGTGAGCTTGACTGGAGAATTTTGTGATTGTCTCTGATAGTTTAACTCCTATTGTGTCACACATGAAAGGCCATGCAGAACAGCAGCTTACAGACCTGGAAGGGATCTTAACTCATGCAGAGCAGCCTCACTTCTGACTGCTTTCTTTCAATCTTTCATTATCCCCCCTTTAAAACATATTTTCCACTCCCATTTTTGCCCTTGTTTGATAACATTCTTTTCCTCCCCTTCTTTCCACCCATCTCACCCTTCTTTGTTCTTTTTATTCCAAGACCCCGGCTAATAAACACGCAGAGCAAATTCAACCAACGAAGCTGGGGTCTGTGTTCTCCACTCTCCTGCTGATTCTCAGCACAGTCAGATCAAAAGCTATCAGAACAGAGGCCTTTATGAGTTCTCAATATACTTTCCTAGTGACCTATTTCCATTGGGCACTTACATCTCTTCACAGGGAGCAAATGTGTTTCCCTTTTTTTTGCAGTATCCAAATCTGTTTCCTTTTTTATTCATCTTGTAGCAAAGACTGTGACTCTCCTGTGCACCTAGGGTTCAGAATTACATGATAAAAAACATGAATACTGAGAAACATAAAGCACTTCATTTCCTAATACAGTTAAGCTTGCCGAATCATATCACAGAATGGTGCAGTAAAAAGGGGACAATAAGTCATTGAGAAAGTCTATTGAGTCAGGAAAGGTTTTTAAGTAGGAATAGAGGTATGTAAGAGGAACAGATGCATACTAGCTTTTAAATAGAGCTAATCAATTACATGGGAAGAAAAATCAGCAACAGAGGTTACAGTCAAAGTGATGCTAGATGAGACCTTGAAAGTGTATCAAAATTATGTTATCTTCAATTATGTCCCAAATTCTTAGACAGTAACAGAAATATTGATTGTTGTCTTCACCATACACCCGATGCGAAGGTCTCTCACCATTACTCAACAACTCTGAACACTGATCATCCAGAATGGGACACTGCCCCATAAAACAGTAGCCTTTCCCATTCTTGCAAGGAAACCCGTTGGTCTGGAACTGGTCCTTAGGACACTCAGGGGAGTGGCCAGTACACACTTCAGGAAAATCACATTCATTTTTTGCTAGTCTGCATATGGCCCCTTCTTTCTTAATCTGTTGAAGAGAAGCAGATATTGGAATCTTTGATGTGTGAGTTGGTGAAATTGAGTGTATAGGCAGAAATTTGACATAATTTGTCTGTGAGAGGCAGGCTCACAACTTTCTTCTTTTCAATGCTAAAGATTATTAGCATTTCTAGATACTATGGCTTTTATGTGACTAAGAATGGGAAGAGGGTGAGGTATTTTTAAAAGCTTTATTTATTTTATGTGTGTGATTGTTTTTCCTTCATGCATTCATATCTGGTGCCCACAGAGGCCAGAAGAGAGCACCAGTTCCCTGGAGCTGAAGTTAATCTGCTGTGTGAGTGCTGGGAATCTAACCTGGGTTCTCTGCAAGAGCATCAGGTGCTTTTAACTTCTGAGGCCATTCTCCAATCCAAGATTGTGGGTTTGAAATTTGGTGTTATAAAATCCTTAGGTGGAGTTGACATGGACAAAAGTTGTAAAATGGGCAGATGTTTTCATTTATCTTATATTTTCTTTATTCCTTGCTCTGATATAGCACTCCAATGAATCACTGCCCATCTACTACATTACACAGAATCTCTGTCATCAACAGATAAAGATCTCACCATATAGACTGTAACAATATCCTGCCTTTCATTGTTCAGGGGAGCGCACAAAGGTATTCTCTTAAATGTGTGGGGTTCCTAGGAAGAGTTTAAGATACATAAAATGATTCTTTCATTTGTGAGTTTGCAATTCACTGGAGTCAAATAAGTGTAAATAAATTCCTTAGAGCTATCTGAATTTCTGGCCATTTTTTTCAAGCTCCTATCTCTAGACATCTAGTACCTAGTATCTATGTATACTCTGTTCTCCTTTAGATACTGTTGTTGGGATATCAATTTCCCTCCCACTTGAGGTTAAATAGCTTGGTACTGATCTACACATTCATAAGAATAGAGTTGGCCATGGGATGTCACTCCTAAAGACAGGATGTGATGCTTACCATCTTCTCTATTACCCAAACCAGAGTACCATCTGTTCAGACACCAGAACATTTCAGAATAAATACTCCTGACTGTTAACAAAGGACACTCCATTCTGGAAATAGCAATGCAGGGCCAGCCATAGCCAGATGGTGCTTTGTTATTCTACACACCTAAACTAAGACCACAGAAATCCTCGGGAGCCAAGGGTCTCACCTGACATGATTCGCAGCATTCTCCTTCCACACAAGTGTAGCCTGGCTTCAGGACACATTTGCGTGCATCACAGCAAGGACTGGTGCATTCCTGGCAAAATGAAAATGTAAAAATGTAAATAAATATCACAAATTGGTTCCTGTGTTGCCTACTATGTGATGATTAATTACTTGCATTCCTTCAAGAACTCCAAAGAAATGCAGGATCCTTGGCTTTGGTATATGAATCACATTACTGGTGAAGCTTATATTGAGGACTTCTATTTTGTTGCCTTCTCTCATGCTCTTTTAGTACATACAAGTTTATGAACTCTCATTGGTGGGAGGAGTCCAAATACAATGACCTTCTAGTCCCTGTTGTCTGACTCCCAACCCCTGATGCTAAAGTCTAATATGAGATAATCCAATGTCTAAAGATCTGATCTTGGAATCTCTGGCTTGAGATGCAACCTGAATCTCATCTCTCTCTCTCTTTCTCTCTCTCTCTCTCTCTCTCTCTCTCTCTCTCTCTCTCTATTATTATATCATAACAATATAGGTGTCCTGACTTCTTGGACAAAATTAAAACTTCAGAGGCCGTGATCTATCTATATCCAATCAGTTAAGGCCTACATACACTAGAAAGGAGCTGTGGAATGTTCCAAAACATGCATGGGTCAAATGGATCCATGTCCAAAGCCAGAAGATTTACTCATTTCATCCAAGATATTGAAGATCAGTACTCAAATTCTCTGGGTAGGTCAGCCCCACCCTTGTTACAGTTTCTCTTTGTTGCTGTCCTATTACAGCACTTTGAACTGTGCAGTGTCTAGAGCTAACACAGAAAAAGTCTTCAGAGTGCAGCCTCAGCATGTTGGTAGGAACATAAACTGAAGCTACACTGGAGAACTCCTTGCTTTGTTTTTTTTAACACATCCCCTGAGGTTTACACACCCTTGTTCATCTGAGGCAAAATAATGGAGGACACATGTTTATTTGATGAGCTTATAAAAGAAATAGTTTCTAAAAGCAGTCTAAGAATTACTTGAAATTTTCCTCCAAGGCTTTTTCTAAATGGTCTAAACCTCAATAAGCATATGAAAAATTTGGAGGCCTTTTGTCCCTATGTTAAAAGCAGTTTTTCTATAATTACAACTGCCCGGCTATGATATAGACAAGCTTCCCAAGGCTCTAAGTAAAACTGGACTGACTAGACATGCTTTATAGAATGTCCACCACCCACTGTGTGTACCTGAGGGATCTAACATAAAGGTACTTCTCACAACACAGGAAGGTTAACAGGTTAACATAAAAACTAGGCAAATGGAATCCTGCTGATCTACAGCAAGGTCATCACATGGGACTTGAGATGTCCTAAAAAGGCTTGAAAGGAGGCTGTCTCTACAGCTGAGCTCCAAATGGACAATAAAAACAGCTTCCTAATACTTCACTGAGACCATGATCATCTGCTGAAATTCCAGCTGAGCACCAACCTTGTTAAAGATGACATCATTTGCAAATACCTGAACTGTTCCACAGTCGCACTCTTCTCCTTCATCTACCTTCTTGTTCCCACAAAACGGAAACTCATTAAAATCAGCAGGAAGTGGATTGTTTAGTATGCATGCTGGTTTCTGATCCTTCAAATATTGCTGGTATTGGGTCTGGCTGCATTTACTGAATTTTATTGCGGGGATGCTAAAGATGAGATGAGGTAAAAAAAAATAAAGGTTTATCACAAGAAGGAAGCTGTAAAAGTTTAATGAGGAATTGGAAAAGAAACACAAATGCTAAATGTGAGAGCAGAGTGGTGGCTTGGCTCCTTATTACTTATTAGTTGTGCTTCAGAAACACAACAAATACCATTTCAGTGAAAAACTCAGGTTATGTGTCTTCTTACAAATCCGTTCTGAAACCAACATAGTTGGTTGTCTGTACTTTCTGTTCCTAATTACCCTCTAATGTGTCCCTCTTGTTTAAAAAATAGTGTTTTTATTTTATGCTATGGGTGTTTTGCTTGTCTGTATGTATATCTATGACCATGTGGGCAGTGTCTGCAGAGGCTAGGAGGGGGTGTCGGATCCCCAGGAACTAGAGCTACAGATGGTTATTATGGAATATTATTTTAAGATGTGTTACATTTGTTTTTGCTGTGGAACATTTGCTTAGTGATACAAAGATGTGTTGCATTCCTTCTTGTTGTGTTTGTTTAACTCTGTGAAGATGTGTTACTTTGCCTGTCTAAAACAGCTGATTGGCCTAACGAAGAGCTAAACATCCAAAAGCAAGACAGGAGATAGGACAGGCAGCGTTGGCAGGCAGAGAGAACAAATAGGAAGAGACGTATGGGAAGAAAGATTGAGGAGCAAGGGAAAGAGGAGTGAGGAATACTTGAGTTGTCAGCCACCCAGCTACACAGCAAGCATGGAGAAAAAAATAAAGAGATAAAAAATAGAGAAAGGCAAAAGCACAGAGGCAAAAGATAGAATAATTTAAGTTGAGAAAAGCTGCCTATAAACAAGCTGACATAAGGCTGGGCATTCATAAAAAAGAATAAGCTTCTGTGTGAATTATCTGGGAGCTTTGTGGTGGGCCCCCAAACAGCAAAGAGTAAAAACAACCAACTACAGATGGTTGAAAGTCTTCATGTAGATGCTGGCAATTAACGCCCCAACCCTCTGTAATACCAATAAGTGTCTTAATAACTGAGCCATTTCTCCAGGCCCTAATGTGCCCCCTTGTAATATAAGCACATAATAACATAAACCTGGTTTATCATTTCTGAAAGATCACAAACCTCTCAACAAAGTCAAGGAGGGTATCACGTTCAGTTCTTTAAAAGTAACCGTGAGTTAACACAATGCCTTGTAGGGAACAGTTGTCTACTATACTTGTGGAAATAAACTTAAAATATTAGCATCTCCTTATGAGTTTTAAAAACTCCTCTTTAAACTAACACTTCACTCCTTCTTTCTGCGTTTGATTTAATTCCCCTCAATGATTGAATACTGAATGACTTTTAGAGATCGAGTCCATTAAATGGGGTTGGCATGAGGAAGAATACTATTAGTTTGATATCAGTTACTGAGCTCTTCTCTGGGGCAGCCACTGCATTTCAAGCTTTAGCTATTTTCCATCATTTTAAAAATATTTATTTGTTTTGAAATTATGTGTATTTGTGTGTGCTGATGTGTGGGTTGTGTACAGGTACTCACTGAGGCCAGAAGAGGGAATAAGATTCCCGGAGGTTGGAGTTACAGGTGGTTGTGTACTTCCCAATGTGGATGCCACTGAACATGGTGGGTCTTGTGCAAGATCAGTAAGTGCTCTGAGCCACTGAGCCATCTCTCCAACCCCAACATTGTATCATTTAATCAATCAACATCCATAAGAGACCCTTGGAACTAACAGAAAATTTTCTCATTGCTTCAAAGGAGTCCAAAGATGCACAGGACCAAGGCCTGCCTACAAGGTAAGTTACTCACTATATATTGTGGATCAATCTCTAATTGACATCTACTTACAAAGAAAAATGGGTTTTCTCCAAGGGAGTCTCACTGGGTACATTAACCACACAGTTAAGGGTATGTCCTATGCCCAGTAGTAAATGGCCAACAGAAAACAAACTAAATTGCAGCTTTGTAGACTCTTGTCTCATATGGCTTTGCTTAAGCATTTCTTGGTTTGCTGGTCTTTTGCTTGTTTATTATGGTTTCCAATTTTGTGTTTCTTATGGGTTTGGGGATTTTGGGGTGTGTGTGTGTGTGTGTGTGTGTGTGTGTGTGTGTGTGTGTGTGTGTGTGTGTTTCTTGTATTTTTACTTTGTTTTTCTTGTCTGTTTTATTCTGGTTTTTTTTTTGCCTGTTTATCTTCCAAAGAGAGAAAGAGAGGGGGTAGAGTTGGGTTCATGGGGAGGAAGTGGGAGGAGTTCTGAGAAGGGAAAGTGTGATCAGACTATATTATATGAATTTTTTCAAATATATATATAAAATAAATTTGTTATGTACATTATCAGATCCTCACCTTCCACTACCACCCATCACACATTTTCCCACAGGGCAGGTGCATGGAAACTCATCATGTTGCATGCCCAGGCTATGCCCCAATTGATGTGCGATTCTGTTCCCGATTATATTCACATCTGGTAGAAGATCCTGATTTAAAAAAAAACAGCCATAAGAGATGTTTATAAGAGACTCCAAAGTAATACATAGGTATCATTTTAAATTAATGGTTGAAAGGCTAAATCTTAGTGTAGATTTAGGAAGGGATAAACTTCATTATACCTCATCTATACTTCAGTCCATAAATATAATTTATAATGAAATTGGGAAAACAACTTTTTATGTATTTCTACCTCTAACGTTTTGGTGTACAACATGCTCCCATTTCTTGTATTGGCAGAGACACATTTTTTTTTTTACAAATAATTAAAATCCATCAACTAATGTTACTATGCCTGTCTGCTGTGTCCTTCCAAAATGTATGTTTTGAAGTCTTAAGCTCTCAGGACTGCAATGTTTAGGCCAAGGGAACAAGTTAACCACATAGGCCTTGGAGAAACTTCTCTCTCTCCTCTGCCATGGGAGACCCAATGATGTGTGGGTCAACCTTAAGCCCTTAAGTGGACCCTTTCCAGTTACAAATGTATAAGCTTCTCAACTTTCAGAATTGTAAGACATACATTTCTGTGAATTACAACCTACTCACTTTCTGGTATACAGTTACTGAAGCCCATGAGGACTTCAGACAAATGTCCCACACAGTTCTTTTGTTTGTTTTTTGGCTGGTTGGTTGGTTCTTTTTGTTTTTTTGTTTTTTTGTTTTTTTGTTTTTAGAGACAGGGTTTCCCTGTGGCTTTGGAGGCTGTCCTGGAACTAGCTCTTGTAGACCAGGCTGGTCTCAAACTCACAAAATCTGCCTGCCTCTGCCTCCAAAGTGCTGGGATGAAAAGTGTGTGCCACCAACACCCGGCTGTCCCACATAGTTTTATGAATGAGGTTGGTAACTTCTCTGTATTGATATTCCAGGGCCTCAATGAGAGGTTTGTTCTTGTTTTTGATCTGTCCTGTTATATTGAGCAGCAATGCTATAATATCTTGTGGAGGGAGTTTCTGTCATGAGAAAACTCTGGGAGTCAGAAATGTAAAACCCATATTACCTTGCCTCATAGGCCTTGTTCATGCTTTAACCGAAATATCTATAAAAAAAATCCAAAGAGGGATAGGCCATCCAGTTATGATAAAGCTAACAGATCACCTCTAATATGTTCATTTAATTTTGCTCATATTAAGCTTCAAATGTTTCTTGGTTTGGCTAAAATATGGTAATTGAAGCAATAATAGCTTCATTTGGGGTAAATTGACTTTGTAGGCAGAACTCATGTCATATAGATACTAAAGGCAAATCTATAGTCTTAAAAGTGATTATAAAACAACCAGTGGGTGAGGTTATTTGAATAAATAGTAGTTATTTTAAGCTTGGTTCTCAACAAGACTAAGCTGGGGAAATAAATAGCAAGGAAATAAAAACAAGCCTTCATGTTTTCAACTGTCTCCAACAGAGTTATATGGACAGCATTTATTGGAATCTTCGAGCCTTGGAGAAACATCATACAAACAAGGAGAGACAGTAGCTCGTAGGTCCTCTACTTGCTGAACATGATTTTCAAGACTGTCTTCATATGGCAAATTAAATGGCTTTTGTACTTGTTTATTTCAGTTCAAAAACAATAATAATGATTAAATCAACCAAAGTTTCACAGACCTTACTCATCCTTATAGATAGTTATATTTAATACACAGAAGAGTTTTAGTTATGGAATATGCTGTGATGATTTCATACCTGTGTTTTACCTTCTTGGTTCACCTCTAGGTTTTTATAAGACACATTTGTTATTTTCATTTACTAAAGGGAATATAGCTCCTTTTATGACATACCTTGGGAAATATAGGTCAAATACAAATCACACAATGGTTTTTCAATGTGTTTCAGAGAGTTGTAGAAAATTAATATTTTTGAATAAATGTTACAATGTTAGGAATATGTTAGACCCACCTTAACAATGCTGCATGAACGAAGGGTCTGACACATCCCCCCTGGGTAAGCAATTCCTTGCATAGGTGTGTAGAGCCACTTCCCACTATAAACAAGATACAAGAATGCTTATTCTTAATCTAACTGAAGAGTCTCATTGACACCAAGTTCAAACTGCAGTGAATCGCCATAGTGGTCATTCCTTGTCTTGAAACAATTTTCTCCTCTCTAAAGTTAATGGACACCATGGATGATCTGAGTTGATACTGGGTTCAGTTAAAGCTAGAGGCCCCCAAAAAGCAAAATGTGTCTTAGGGTAAAATTGGAAAAAAATAGATAATGTTTTCTAAGAAAAATAAAATGGAAGAGGAAGAATCTCATGTTTCTTGATTCTTGTCTACCTTGTACTCGACTCTGGATAAAACAATTTAAATGACAAAAACCCACAAACAAAAACTACAGTAAGCTAATCAATTGAACTTTAAAGTATTGGGGGGGATATATTACAGTGGATACACTCAGAATCATGATGATTTGATTATGGTTGATAGCACTTAAAATCCTTTATCAATTATAGACACTTAGAAGAGCAGCAATGGTTCTAATTAAACATTTAAATGGACCTTGTGTAAAAATAAGAATATTCTCATAATCCCTAAAAGGATAAATGTCTACACTCTAGGGATCTAATTTTCACTTGACTTGAGAGCAGTGCTTAGATTTGGGCCTTTGTAAACAGAGCTATCACCATCTGGAAGACAATACTTAGAATACCAGGAAATTCAAATACAAGAACAGAGGTGAGCTGAAGGGACCCTTTTCAGCCTCTTGTTTTAATTAAGAAGATTCATTCTGTTTCTATCCCTGTGTCCAATGTGTCAATGTTTGGCTGTGCTTTTTAGAGTTTAGTATTCTGGGCTTGCCAGTCTTCAGAGATCTTGGAAGAACATGACAAATGGGAAGAACTAGAGAAGGACAGGCCAGATGCTCACTTCGCTCAAAGTCATCTGAACTTAAACAAAGCACAATTATAACATCATCTGCATTGTCTTTCCTTCTAAACCTTTGAAACTATAGATGGAAGATATTCAATAACTCAGTGCATAAGAAGTCCCAGATACATAGCCCAGGTGGACAGTGAGCAGCCACCCACTTTAAGCCCCTGTTTCAAACAACTTATTGATCTGAAAAGTTGCCCGTGAAATAAGAAAAAATTGTTTCATTAAAATAAAATACTTTTCTTCATTATGCTTATTTAGCTAATGCTAGGTGTCCTAAAATTCACAAATGGTTTTGTGAGACAAGTCAGTGGGAAGAAGCACTAGCTGCCAAGCCTGAAAACCTGAGTTCAATCCCCAGGATCTACTGAGTGGGAGGAGAGATCTTTCTCTTGCAAGTTGTCCTGTGACCTCCACAAATGCACTCACTCACACACACACACACACACACACACACACACACAAACCATAAATAATAAATACATCTTTAAACATTAATATCTGAATAGGGGACTCTATCTTGCCCACCATGAAGTCTATGGTGATATTTTACTATTATTTATCCCCTATCATTTTTGGTCATGACAGTATATGAATGTCTAAGCCTAAGATAGGAAGAGTTACACTCCTTCAGAGAAATTCTGTGGACAATCAGATGAAAACTGACAGTCTGGCTCACTCTTATCAATCTTCTAAAGGACTAGCCTCTACCTCTCACAACAGGCTTTAAAAACTACTTGCTTCTGAACGCAGCCTGAAAGCTCAGCTCTAGTTAACCCTGGAAGGAGGCTCCACATTCTAGATTTGCAGAACTCTGGAGAAATTGGCATTAAAGGCAGAGAAACAGGTAGGCAGAGTAAGTGCTTCTCTAACACGTGACTCCTAGTATCATCAGACCACAGTGCTGAAAGCCACTGCTTTCATGTTGCAGGCCCACAGTGTGATAGCACTTAAGATAACAAAGGTGCTTATTATCACAGAGTCTATGAATTTTATTCCTGTATTTATCACTTTCCTCTGGGTTAAGTATAATGCTAGATATATTGAATAGAGGAATTAATAATTAAGTAGATCCTCTCAAATTTTTATGTAGAAATATTGAAGCTATTGCAGGATAAACTTATTAGATAGGATTGTTCAGAAATCAGGTTTTAGTGGATGGTACAGGAAACAGCCATGGATCCCCAACTTTAACTTGCTTTGGCACAATTTCAACTCTGCAAACAATATATTATTTTCTTTACAGTCTTAACTAGCATTAGCAAAATATTATTAAAGATTTTAGTTGGGAATTTTTCTATACTCATAACTGTACAGAGGTTTTTTTTCTTTACAGTCTTAACTAGTATTAGCAAAAAGTTATTAAAAATTTTAGTTGGGAATTTTTCTATACTAATAAATAACAGTTTCCTATATAATAAAAAATCCCCCCAATAAATAATTTTAAATGTGACTGTGTTGTTTTTCTACTTGATATTTTCTTTTTCTTTTGTGTCTTTGAGTGTGTGTGGCTTATTTGCACTTGTGTGTACACACCTATATGCCCATGTACAGGCATGAGAACCAGAAGAGAATATCAGGTGCCCAGATCTGTCATGCAAAAGCCTTATTCCCTTAAGACATAGTCTCCCACTGAGTCTGGAGTTAGGGTTGATGGACAGCAAGCCCCCATGATTCTCTTGTCTCTACATTATTCACAGCACTGAGGTCATGGCCACACCTAACTTTTTACATAGGTGCTTGGGTTCAAATTCATTGTAAGTACTCTTACCCATGAACGCATCTCCTGAGCCCTGTTTTCTTTTCCAATAAGAATAGTCATCCTAATATGTGAATAAAAATAGAATAACCACATACCTCAGTAAAATCACATGGTCAAAATCCTTCCTTTTTTTAAGAACCGTTTCTTGCCAAGTTGAAAAACGCAATAAGGCAGTTTCTAGATTTGATGATATTTCTACCTTGTCTCCAGAAGACCATATTTCAAGGCCAGCCAATGCCACATGAATGTTCAAGGTTTTATAAATCTGTTCAGAGAGGAAAATTTTTTCAAAGTCAAATTGTTAGAAGTTTCATTATTACCTGTACTCCCTTGTATTAAAAACAATTTTAACTTGTTATGCACATTTTAAGTAGCACAATTCTTGTTTTATAAATTGATAGACTGAACTATAATGCAAAGTATCATATGGAATACTCGTTAAATTTCCACAAATTTCAATAAAGTAACTAACATGGTAAAAAAAATGTTTGAAAATACCTTAATTTCAGCATAGAGATAGAAATGGTAAACATGAATGAAAATAAAAGGAAAAATCCCACAGCCTTTTGAGAGCACAATCAAAGGATGTACATAATCAGGGGAAGAGTCCTGCTGGCTTGACAGGAATTATTCAAATTGAAATACAAAGTACTGACAGAATGAAACAAAGAAAGGGTCTAATGCTGTGGTAAAGAGCTAAAATAATAGGCACATTCCATATGACCTAGAATTACAACTTAATTATTTATGTAAAACAAATGAGTATTTATTTTTACACATAGGAGGTATACAGATAAAGTTTAAATTAGTTCCAAAAATGCAAATAGAAAAACTACTGCATGAAAAACCACTAATCTGGATGGGCTACTCCTTCCAGGATCTTCTTACCAGACTAATTGACCTAGGATGTGTTCCAGTGATTCAGCAAGGAAGAAGAGAACAACCCACAATTTGTTTTAGTAATGGTTCCCATTCATTAATATTTAGATTCACTAATAATCGTAATAGATTATAGTGAAGTTGTCCTGGTTCCAATGACAAGCCGTAGACAATAAATCACAGCATGACATTTTTGTTATATGCAGACACAGAGTGCTTAGTTGAAAATAGTGTGGCCTAACATTTACATGCTTGGTTCCTAAATTGCTGATACCCTGCTTCATAATTTTTGTGTGGCCATAGATTTAAAAATTTTTATTACTTATCATTATTGTATGCATGACTGTGTATGCATTCCTGCATGCATATGAGTGTGTCTGCATGTGTGTGCATTCCTCTCTCTCTCTCTCTCTCTCTCTCTCTCTCTCTCTCTCTCTCTCTGTGTGTGTGTGTGTGTGTGTGTGTGTGTGGTGTGTGTGTGTGTGTGTGTGTGTGGTGGCAAGTACATGTTTGGAGTTCGAGGACAAATTAGTGGATCTATCATTTCCTTCTTCATTCCTGAAGATTCAATCCAAGGTTGAACTTGGGTTCCACCTTCATGGTGTGCATCAAACACCTAACTCTATCCACTGAGGCATCACACCAGTCCCCATAAGTGAGCAGGATTCAGAATTTATTTAGATATAAAGTGTAATTTATTTGGTAACACAAAACTTCAGTGCTATGGTTTGTTGCTGTTTTTGAAGTAAGTTTTTACTAACTAGTTGGCCTGGTGGATCTGTGGTTTATGCTAACTCAATGTCAAATTGATTGCTACAGCCCTTTCATGTGCCTGCCCTAAAAAGTGCATTGCATTTATGTTTTCAGATTGCTTTGAATTATAGCAAAACTTACCATGTTGACAAAATTAACCATTCCCCAAATTCGTTTCCTTAGCTTGGTTTGAGGTTTACTATTCCTGTGGTACTAGAAACACAAATGTATCACTTGTTATTTATCAATACTGAGAAAAAGCCCAGCAAAACACTTCACTTACTATGAGATATTGAAAGAAAGAAAGAAAGAAAGAAAGAAAGAAAGAAAGAAAGAAAGAAAGAAAGGGAGAAAGAAAGGAAGAAAGAGAGCCTCTACAGCAATGGAAAACAATTATCTTTTCAGTGAGCTAAAAACTGAACAAATTATGAAGACATAATGTTATAGTTTTTATAATAAAATAACTAGACATAATGGTTCCTGAAGATGTGCTTTGACTTAGCCCTACTTTAAGGTCTTCTCTTTTAAATTTGGTCATCTCCTTTTCCAATTATATTACATTACATATGTTGATTATTTTTTGCAAAAGCAACTGCCTAGTATTCTTTAGAGATCATTTTTACTCCCAAGCAACAACTACTAAAGTTATACAAGAGTCATTACATTGCAAGCATCAGCCAATTTACTCCCCCTGACCTATGAGTACTTAAAGGCAACAAATCACAAAATCGCACAGATAAAACAGACCCCACATTGAGCCATGTACCACAGAGGGACAGGAAGCTAGCCATTCTTTCTCTCCAAGACAAAGCTCAAAATGCCAAGTAGACGTAACTGTGGAGATCTTTGGTGATAGGTTTGACATCATGGCTAGAGGAAAAATTATCCCTTCCTTCGTTAGAATGGTTAAGCCCTGCATCCTGTCTTCCTGTATGTTCTAAACACAGGTACACAACCTATGAATTTTACTTCGCATTCTGATGAAGATTTTTCTCCTTAAATTTTAGCATTTGAAAGTTTTCAGTGCCTTCTGTTGAGGTTGAATTTAGATTATTGACCTGTTTTCAATATTTCATAAATTGCTCAAAATGTCTATTATTTGAAGTAGGAAGGGAGGTTCTATATTAGATTAATCTGTAAGATAGTGAAGAGACTCAAGAGTTTCTTATAATACATAAGTTTTGAGGAGCTGAAAGGTGATGTGTGAATCCAGAATGGAGCTTAGTGGAATTTCTTTCTCTCTAAATGAGAACTGCAACTGTAGTTTTACAGAGAAATAAAGGGTCTAATGTCCATCTGAGAACTCACCACATAATCATCAGCAACAATGAACAGTTCAATGAATTTTTCTTTATGGACTCCCTAAAGATGGACAGAAAGTTCAATGAAACATATTACCAATTTAATAGGAAAAAACCCCAACATTTTCATGATGAGAACTCTTAATGCTATTATATTTGCAGGTGAAGCAAATGAATGTATCTAATATGTCAATGAACTTGTCTTATTACAACACCTGGACCTACACACTAGATTTTAATAATCCTTGAGTAACATTCCATATTTGACTGTTTTGTATTTTTGTTTAGTCTTCCATCTCAAAATAAGAGTTATAAATTATTACAAATTAAGTATTTTTATATTTTGGGTTTCCTTTTGTTTATTTACAAACCAAACAGCTTGTGCCTAAACTCATGTGCTACTAGCCCATATATTTGTGTATTTACACACACACACATGCATATTTATACATACATGTATGTACAACTGAGAAATAACTGCTAAGAATGTGCATATTTCTCATACTTCTCCCCAATATCCCCACCCTTTTTCTTATTGAGTGTTATTCTCAATTCCAAGGATACTTATAAATATGGCTAATTATAGGCCTTTCTTTTATAGGAAACACAATACCAGGAATTTCTTCTAAGTTTTTAGCTGTATTGGGCAAGTGCATTTTCATGTTTCATATTTCAATGACTATCTATACCTCTATTACATAGCATCATTGAAGTATCATTGGCTTATTGGCAGTTCTTGGACAACTGAACCACTTTTTACTGCATTGGTTGGCTGCCTCATGAAGTCCACTGTATCTAGGGATATTGAAATGGCTTTGCTGGGAATTTTTTACTCATGCCCTAGTTGTTTACCAGATCTCCCAACTGTTTTTTTTTTAAATGGTAAGTTTTTTTTAAGATTTTATTTATTTATTATGTATACAACATTCTGCTTCCATGTATATCTGCACACCAGAAGAGGGCACCAGATCTCATAACGGATGGTTGTGAGCCACCATGTGGTTGCTGGGAATTGAACTCATGACCTCTGGAAGAGCAGTCGGTGCTCTTTAACCTCTGCGCCATCTCTCCAGCCCCTCCCAACTGTTTTTATGTTGAAAATTTTGCTTAGCGTATCAGCAACTGAAAACTAGGTGCTGGCATGCCTGTTGTGGAGCATCTTTGCATAGCACAGGTCTGGGATTTGTCTTCTTGTGGTTGCGATTTTCCTTGCCATGGCTATAGGCAGACAGGAAGTTCTCCCTATCTTCTGAACAGTGTCCAGGGCCACTCTTCAAAGATTTGACTAAATCATTCTTTGTTGAACTATGTAATTGTTTATCCATCCAGGTACTTAACAAAGAAATACCTGTGAGGTATATATTTATATACCTGCTGTCTAGACCAGGAACGTGAAAACTAAAATAAGCCTGCAGCCTTCCAGCTAACATCAAGAAGACAACATCTGATTGTGAGGAAGCCTAAAAACACTGAGGCTCTTGGAGCCATCCTCCCAGAAACCGAATCTCTTATCATCCTTGGCTATTTTTTATCATAACATTGAGCCTGATGTAAGAGGTGGGTTGTTTGTCGCCAACAACTTTTCCCAAAGTGGTAAGGAAAAACAGGATAGGATTCTGAGAACATCCCTTTTCCAGTTGCTTACAGCCTTAATGCTGTCCTTCTATATGGAGGGTGGGAAGCTTTTCCCTTGATGGAACAAACTAAGATCTCCTGAAGGGAATAAATACTCTCTACATAGACATAAAGAAGTTTAAGTTCAGTCTTTGGACCATGAATTTCCAATTCAGAATATGACCTGCATTTTATAGCTGGGTGCATAGAGTTTTTCTTGGGAGATCATAAAGGAAATCAGGACTGTTTTATGCTTTGGGGGTGGGGGGTTGTTTTGTTTCTTAAAGTAAAGAGGATTTCGAATACTCACTTCCACTTTGTGCTCTTTTATATTCTTAGCATCCAACAGAGAAAACTTCTTGGTAAAATTGAGCCCCGCACAGGAATAATTAGTAGCATATGGTGCCTTAACATTGTATTTGAACAGCATATGCTCTCCTTCATCCGAGTATTTTACCGGTTCAATGAGATACCGTTGCTCATTCACTCTGAAGAAGCCACTGTGGAAATGGAGACACAACATTATTCAAATCTGTAGCTCTCCCACTCTGTCTTATTAATATCAGCCTTCTCAGAAAGGGAGACTACCAGGATCCGAACCTCCTGGGTAGGGTGTGTTGGGTAACTGAGGAGCGACACAGCAAGAGGCCTTTGACTGAATTAGTCACCATTTCTAAGAAAAAGTCAACCTGACCATTGTCCTTAGAAGCTGGTCACCATGATTTCTGCTTTGAGCACAGGCAAAAAGCAGCTTTCATCCATGGTTGCCTCAAAGGTTTTGCAGAAATTTGATATATTTATCAGGTACTAAGTAAATATCTATATTTAGATACATATAGGTATCTAAATGTACAGATATGACTGTTGGGTAGTTTTATCATAAAAGAGGTTCTTATTCATGAGAATTCTGAGAGTCGCTGAAGAACAGTGAAGACAAATGAAAACAGAGCTTTATTTCTTCAGCCTTCCATCTCTCCTCACATCTTTTGTTTTTATCTTTAAGTCCAAGACTTACAGAAAAATTATAAGCTTTGTCTCTGACTTTTTATTTTCTAAACCAGAATGGGTCTGGCATAGTAAAAAGAAAAATGATTGAAACATTGTAGTGTCAGAGGAACCCACAGACCTCAGAATAAGAGGACCTGCACTGTGGAATCAGGCCAATGCTTGCAAGTTCTGTGTTCTTAAGCAATTGTGGACTTTCAGCATCCTGACCTCTAACATAAGAATACATGCTAAATGGTGTCCTGGAATCTACCACCTCTGAATCTTCCTATCCTGTGCTGGAGGCACCTTGTTGAGGGTTGTGTGTTAGGCACTTATCATTGAGTGTAAACCACAGGCTAGAGTTTCCATTCACTATGGAGGGCACACAGTGCCCCCTTTCTGCTTACTTTTTTTTTTTTTTTACAAAATTGGTGAAAGGAAATCAGTCAAGTGGATGCCATTAGAATCTACAGGAAATGAGTTAGAAAGCTATGCTGCCTTACCTCAGACCGTTACAAGTACTGATACTAGCAGCAGAATCAAATTCATGTATGATAGAACCTTGGTAAAAACAGTGATCCTAAAACAGAAGAGTCAATTAAGGCAGATATAAATGCTGGAACTATAAAAATATTGATAGTTAATTAATTTCTGTTAAGAATAAATCAGTATTTCATAAGTGACACTTGCAATTTATTCGTGGATTCATTTAAGTAAGACATTTGAACCTGATTTAGGGACCTTTTATTCTAACTCAATGACTACTTTGGGTAAACCTATATATAAATTATTTCCTCATAAGTTTGTCTATCAGGCAAAGAGGACCAGTTTAAGATGTGACCTTTCTCTTATAAATATGGCTCCTTCTGTCCACCCTCAAATCCTTGACAATGTTCTGTCATTTCCCCAGCTGCTTGTTAAATCAAGCCAAGCTTTTGGTATTTCTAAAATTAGTTCTTGCTCTCCAGTCACCCCACCCCAGTGCCCTACTCTCTTGTTTCTCTCCTTCAATCCATCTGGCTTCTTTGTTATTCCTGCTTGGTGCATTGCTCATGGTAATTTCATCAGGCAATGATTCTTCTCATCTCTTCTTTCTGTTCACCAGCCCATAGATGACACTTTCTATGGCCTTCCAAGTACCACACACTTGCTCCTCTGTGTTCCTTTTGTCCTCTATTTTAAGGCTGAATGGTGATGTATATCTTAAAGCAGTTTAAAATTGATTTATATAGAGGAACTAGAGTTTTGAAAGGATACTTTTAGGCAGAGGAAGTCATTCTCATTTAAGCACTATAGATAGAAAGTTCTGCAAAGGGGATGAAGGAAAAGATAGATTGTCTACCTCTAGAATAATAATAATGATTTATGCAAATATTTCTCCAGAGAATGAAGAAGAGACCCTAATGCTAGTGAATCAGAAGGGCTGGACAGATGTCACAGACCACATAAGTATTAATCCACTGTACATCTTGAAAGTTGTTTCATGTATTTAGACTTCATCTCTTTTACTTAATTACAACCCCATCAAGATATATTGTGTTTATTTTGACTCCAGCTTCAGGCTCCTTTCACTTACCTCCGTAGTGAATATAGAGAAACCTTAGCAAAGAAAGAATAATACAATCTTTGATCTGCTTGTTAGGAAGTGATCAGTACCCTGTGGGGCTCAATGGCTCCTGTTTTCTATTCTACCACCATTTACAAAGGGTTCTGTTTACATTCTATCACCATTTGAAACAGTCTGTGAATCTGGCATTGGTATTCAAAGCCCTATCAGGAAATAACAGTTTCAGAGAGGAGGCAGAGCAAGGTTTTACAAGGTACCGAGATCTGTGGCTGTCTGGTGATCATCTCTCCCTTTACATTGTAGTATGTCTCACTGTAATTTGAGGTGAGAAATTCCCTGAAAGAGAGAGGAGAAGCAATGACATTCATTCATTCTAAAAATATTACATACAAAACCAATCATATGGGGTTATGAAGCCTCAAAGATGCCTTTGAATCTCAAGAAGTCCTTTCCTGCATATGCATACATACATACATACATACATACATACATACATACAGTATCAAACACACTGGTGGGAACTTTTCAAAAACTGAATCACATACTATTATACATGCTACAAATTTTTCGGGAAAAATTGGGCAATTTTAACAAAGCAGTATTTTTTTATAAAAAACTTCTGAAAAATAATTTATAAAGTGCTAATAAGGTTTTAAGTTAGTCATGCAAGGATGGCTCAATATTTAAAACCACCAAGTGTAAATCAGACTATGACTATTTCACAGAATGGCTGCTCCAGATACAGCCCTGTTGTGTATAAATGTGACTCATTCCATTTGTCTTCAGAGTTTCCGTACACTGATCCACTTGTGTGAAGACAAAGCAATCCTCAAACACCGCTCAGTGTACTTTCTAAATCTGATAAAGGAGCTCAGTGACATATCTTTGTGTATTACATAAACAGAGTCACAAGAAGAGACCCATTTGACGTGTCAACCAGATCTATCCACACTGATTTATAGATTTAATAGAAATCCAACTAAAGTTTCAGCAGATGGTGTCTTGAATTGACAAGATGGACTCAAATGTTCAAAGAAATGCATCTTGTCCTCCAGCATGCTTTTTCATTTTAATGCACACACTTCATATGGATATTGAGGGAAATAAGAAACAACATTGAAAAGAATCACACAGAAACTTCTCTGTAATCAATAGTTTCCCTCCTACTAAGAATGGACAGTGACTCAAGTTTGTATCAATGTACTCATATTCTTCTCAGAGGGACAAAATGGTTAAGATGCTCCAAAGAATCAACATAGGAAGAAAAAATTAGTAAGCAGAGAGCAGAATCTATAGTCTTTTTACTGCTGAGATATGATAAGCTTATATATGAACAGGAGGAATTCATGAGGAATTCACATTAATGGAAGTCCATACAAAAATGGGGATACTATATGCATCTAACTGTATAAGATATGTCACCACAATAGAATTTATCATAATCTAATCTGGGCAAGTAGTGAACAGCTGTAATCCTAGCACTAGGGAGGCAGAGGTAGGAGGATAAGGGGTTCAAGGTCATCCTCATCCACATAGTGAATTTAAGGATAGTTTGGGCTATACGAGACTCTATTGAAACAAAACAAAACATTTTACCTTGATTTCAGAAGGTGAAGGATTAATGCTTTTCTTCCCAATTTTATTTCATACAACACTTCTTCTTCATATGTTTCCTGGAAGACAAGATTCTCCCCGTGACTTCCAAATCTATTTACTGTAAGAGGGTAGATAGAGTGTGGTTCAGGAGCCATTACCCACCTACAGATCCTCACAGTAACTTCAGGAAAGAAACACTGACAAAAATGAACTTAAAGAGAGACAGAATTAGAAGGATGATTTTACCAATTATATTTTAGTTAAAAAGACATTTCTACTAAGGAAATAAAATTGGTAATGTGTATTCACCCCTCATTCAGGAATGAACAAATCACTTCATATTCACTTATATAACTTATATTAACTTGTTTTTATAAAAGACTTTCCCTTTTGTGTTTAAAAACCAATTTTGTATGTATACTTTGTGTTCCTCCTCTTTTCTTCATAAATAATTACCACTTCCTATTATAAATAGTCTCATATAGAAGGTGTTTTATAGTTGTCATACAAAAACATAAAAAGAACTTAATTTACTTACTCTATACTGATTATCAGAAATTTAGTTTGGGATGTTCATTGCAGTTAGAGTTGCATTTTCAACAACATGGATAAAATAAGTAAGGCTTTTGATATGTACTGGTAAGATGCTCTGAAGAAAAGGGGCGTAGATTTAGAAATGCTACTAGCACAATCCATGGCAGCTCTGGATAGATATGCCAACAGAAGTGTTAGTCCTGACAGGTTGTCTTTATTAGTTGTAGATGCTGTCAGTAATGAATGATGAAATTCTAACTTTCTCCCTTGATGACTATTGGCACAGTTGTTTTCTTCTGGCATAGTTATTAGGGATTTTCTGGAGTTTTGATTCATCATATTTGTTTGTTTGTTAGTTTGTTTTTCTACACTTTGTGAGAATTCATTATAATGCTGGTCCATAGTTGTTGCTCATACAAGTTGCCCATTCTTTAATTCTTCATTTTTTTTGACAAAACTGCTTTTTTAGGCATAGCAGTTAATAAGACCAATAAAGCAGATTTTAAAACCATTTGAGAAGATACTACTGAGCTCCCATTCAAGCATCCTATTATTAACATATTTCATAATTATAATTTTCACAACTCATGAACCAAGATTATATTATCATTAAAGTCCATATGTAATTTTTCTGCTCTCAATTTTGCTGGTTATCTTCTTGTTTTTGCATAGTCATAATCACAATGCCATGTTGTGATTATTTGTCATAACTCCTTGGTCTTCTCAAGCCTTTAAGTTTCATGGATTTTTCCCTGTTTTTTTATGGCTTTGACATTTTTGTCATGCACTCGTCAGGTGTCTCATAGGATGTCTCTTGGGTTTTTGAAGGCTCTTCTTAAGTCTAGAATGCAGTCTCTGGTTTTCCCAATGAAAACCACTAAAAACAGTACCATGATGTCACCTCAAGAGTTCTTACTGTTAACATGACTACTTATGGGTGGTGCTCACTTTGCTCACCTGGCAGACATCATAATTATTCACAATTTTCTCTCTGTAAGTGATTCTTTCTTCTGTCGTATTCTTCACTCTTTGGAATAAAATCATGTTGTGAAACCCATGATTAAAGGGCAGAGACCTACAAAATGTGTTGCTTTTATTGGTTGATGAATAAAGCTGTTTTGACCAATGGCCAGGTGGGAAATCCAAACAGAGTTATGGAGAGAAAGAAGGCAGAGTCATGGAGACGCTATGCAGCCACTGAAGGAGGAACATGCCAGAGCATTACCAGTAAGCTACGGACTCATGGCAATACTTAGGCTAATAGAAATGGGTTAATTTATAAGAGAGAGCTAGCCAGTAATATGTCCGAGCCATTGACCAAACAATTGTAATTGATATTTAAGCCTCATAGTGTTACTTCATAAGCAGCTGTAGGACCTAGTGAGTAGGAGAGAAGCCAGTTCAGTGTGACTGGGCAATACAGAGAAAAACATCCAAAATCAATGTTAGTAAAACCTCATGGATCCTACTGGATTATTTATATTGCAGAAAAAAACATCATTTATCTTATTATTCATATTGTCCCATGTTTTCTCTCCTGGGGGCTCTGTAAGTTGTCACCTGACCTCTTTCAATATATCCCCACCAATACAGGTTTGGAATTGGAGGGCATGTCTTTTGTTGCAGGAGGACACTTTTCAGCTCCAGGTTCACCCCATGTATTCCCTCCCCAGCCCAGACTAATTTTACACAGTCAGAGTAGAGCTTATGATATAAAGTTTGACTGTCATAGGACATAAGACAACAGCTCCCACAGAGTGGATGGTAGGAAGCAGGTCTCCCCTTGGCTAGGTATCAACATTTTAACTACATAGATGTTTGAGAAGACAAGGAAGGAGTTGAAGATCAAAATAATATTTGCAAAGATCCTTCTTAGACAAAAATAGCTCAACAGAAGGAAGAAAGCAGAGAGATGCCTCTACATTGCATCAAGTTATGAGATTATGTGAAAAGCTGAAATACAGCTTTCTAATGACTGAGAAGTCTAACAAGTATGAAAAACTAGCTGCCACCATGTGAAAGGGAAGAAAAGTCATGGTACTAAGAGAGGTCTGTACTATGTTGTTGTCAGGGCAGAAGACCTGCTAGTGAACCCAAGTTAAAATCTAGGTTGTAAAATGCATGTATCCAATTATAACTCTGTTATTTTTTTGGTTGTGAGCCCAGCCTTTAATGGCTGAGCCATCTCTCCTCTCTAATGACACACATCTAAGATCTTTATAATCCTTGATACGGAATAAATTATAATGCTTGCTTCAGCTTATGCGTATTGTCTTATATAGTAAATATTCTTTTGAGAATAATATTTGAGACATTTTTAAATGATAACACTCCAATGCAAACCTTTCCAAGGCCAGGTACTTTTTGTTCTTGTGAGAGCTGTCCCACTGGCTGCAGATTCTGTAAATCAAGTAAGCCTTCCTACTGAAAATCTGCAAAAGCAAAAGAAAGGCGGGGGATTGCACTCCAAGGTCACCAGCTCAGAAAAAATTGAGGGTGCATCACAAAAGTCTGCAAAGACTCAGGAGACCACCTCACTGAAACCGAGAAATAGAATATAGTACCCTCGAAGTCTGAGAACTCCTCTTTTTTGTTTGCTAACCTGTTGAGGGTCAGTTACCCACTAGCACATGCTGTAAACCAAGTGAGGGTCCTCTACAAAACTGAAACCTATCTCTGCTTCATATTCATTCTTGCTTGGAGGCAGAGGCAGCTTTTGCACTGTAGGAACACAGTCAAATAGAGACCCATGGTGAACAATGCCTTGGAGAACTGTGAGAGAGGCTCCAGGAAAAAAGGCAGAGGGCCTTTTCCTCAAGTGTATTTTGTTCACCAGATTGTTCTTGGATAGATTTCATGCCTCCTGAGTTAAACATTTACATTCAATTTATAAGACATGTTTATTCTTGATGGATGTCAGGACATAGCTGTTGAACCAGTCTGGTCAGTATACCCTGAATCTAGATATGACCTTCTGCCTTGCTTTCATGCTTTCCCAGATAGAATTTATAGTCATGTTAAGCAATTGTGTTTAAATTAGTCTGTCCTGGGAAAGGGCTTCTCTGTCAATATTTTGTATGTGCTTACTAGCATTTATTTACATGTTTTTCTGATCATGTTTTTCTGAACTCAAACAATCTTCCTTGGATCATCATTTTCTTTGCTACAGTCATGTATATATAAAAGTACAGTGAAATTGAAGTAAGATTGTCTACAGCTTTAGAGTGTAGTCTGCCCTGATCTTTAAGGTCCTCAAATCCCAATTCTCAAAAACAGATCTGCAGAGGTTGGCGAAGAGTCACTACTGTACAACTGTGAAAGCCATTAGGCCATATTTACTAAATCAAAGCATACCGGTGTATCAGAGTCATGGATGTGTTCAAGATCCCTCTTCTGTATAAGGGGAAGCTTTTTAGGACGAACCAGTTCTTGACCCTCTACTCCAACAATCACTTTTTCTAGAAGAAAGCATACAGGGAAAACCCATATGTTATTTCAATCCATCTTCCAGTGAGTGACAAATGGATTTATGTATTTCCAATTGCCAACCATGCGCTCACATCATCTTTGGTTGGTGATGGGAGGAAGCTGAAATGGCTGTTTACAGATCAGGAAGATATAAGCAACACTAGAGCAGGAAGGAGTACAAAGACACAATGTCCTTTGGCTGTTTTCACCTTTCTTACTTTTATTCTCCACATCTCTCTCCAGATGCTACCTCTTGCCAAAGTCTGTACAGGAGTGACCTGTTTCAACATTAAGTAACTCTTGTTTTGTTTTGTTTTTATCAGCAAAATTTGCATTTGAAGTCTTAACTCCCATAGCTAAAGTTCAAAGCTTCCATGGCTTAGATAATCTTAGGTAGCCCCATGCCCATGCTATCCATTATCTTTTATCATCTCCTATCACATTGGCAGTCATCTGTGAGTTTATTCTGGACTATGTAAAGCAATAAAGATAGAATATTATGGATTTTTAGAGTGTACTCAGATATGAATTAAGGATTCACCAGTTTATGAGCTGTGTGACCACTAATATCCTATCTAGTCTTCCTGATCTGCACACAGTATTTTCTTTTTTATGTTTCAAGGCAAACATTTATTTGTGGCTGAGGAAATTTTTCAGTCTCCCATGGTAGCAAAATAAAAATGGCAGTCAACCAAAGTCAGGGAACAACTTTATAGCAAGCAAGCACATGAGTAAAAGTGGAATTTGCAGTAATTTTTGTGATCATGGGAAAGGTGCACATTATAGGTTTGTGGTCAGACAGTTAACATACCATGAAGGATTTTATGACAAGTTGATTCTCAAGACAATGGAAACAATTTGCAATGTATAATTCACAATTTCATCGAGGAATAACAACCTTGTATGTCAGAATGTTTAAAATCTTTTACTATTACCCCTTTTACATGAAAATACTGTAACTGATGCTCCACTTTTTGATCTGTTATGCACACAGTATTTTCATGTAAAGGGGATAATAGTAAAAGATTTTAAACCTTCTGACATACAAGGTAGCTAAGGCTAGCACAGTGTCTAATCTTCTGCAGGTATTCTGTAAATACCCATTCCTTTCCCTCTCTCATGATTGTCATAGGAGTTTTCACAGACTCATTAAATCAGCTGTAACCTAGTCTGAGCCCAACATGATATCCTCAGACAAGTCACCAATGCAGTTAGAGTTTTCATAACTTACAGTTTAAATATTGTAGCAAAGGAGATAATAGATTACGTATAATAAATAACCTTACAGAAAAGAATAACACATACCTTTGATCTGAGAGATAAGTACAGTCATCCAAAATATACCTATGAGGAACATTCTGAATGGTTATTTGAGCAAAGATGCACCCTACTCCTTGTTCTTGCTTCCACTGAAAGGATGCCCAGCCTAGAAGGTAGACGAGCAGTTTTGATCCAGCACAGGAAATACTCCCAGACACAGTTACACAACTCATGCAGGGCTTGAGGCTAAAACTCAGGGGTGGACATAATGTACTAATTAAAGACAACAGTTGAGATACTGGGGGTGGAAATGGACTTGGCACAGATTCTACTTTGTATCTAATATGAATTTAGATGTCTTAAAACTTCTAAGGTGAAAAGAGTCAAGAATGTTTTAGGAAAAGAAAACATGAAATCTAGTTATACACACTTTGGTTGAAATGGATGAAGTAGAGGACCACATATAAAAACCACTCAAGGACATTGGACAAAAACAAACAAAATGCACCAACAACAATAAAAAACTAGAAATGTTAAAAATGTATACATGTGTATGTGCCCAGTGGTGGTGGTGCTTGCCTTTAATTCCAGCACTCAGGAGGCAGAAGCAGGCTGATGTCTGTGTGTTCAAGACCTGTGTGATCTACAAGAGCTAGTTCCAGGACAACCTCCACAGAGAAACCTTCTCTCAAAAAACCAAAAAAATGTATACATGTTACAATATATATATATATATATATATATATATATATATATATATGAAATATTGAAAGGGAGAAGTAAGAAGCATAATATAACACAATTTACTAACTGACACAAAAAAGAGAATACTGACAGATGTACAAAGAGTTATCGATAAGCTTTTTACACATTTGTATTGTCTTATAATGTCAATGCACCCCCTTTGCTTCCATTTTTTAATCCATTCTGTCTCCTCCTCCAGTTCACACTATCTCTCTAATGTTCCTCCAATATTAATCTTCTTTTGATTTAAACCAACTCACCATACTCTCAGAAAATTCTACTCTCTCTGATTGATCGTCTCGTCACTCTCAGTTTCTTTGCCATCCTCTTTCCAGCTCAACTCCCTTCCAGACCTACCTCAACTTCCTGTGGTAGTTTTCCTCTGTCTCATTTACCTGTCTAAACTGACATCTGAATTTAAGACCCTTAGGAGAAATTTTCTTTACTTAAATATCTGATATTTCAAATGTTAGTATGAAGCTGGACATCTATTCTCACCCTTGCAACTTGGAGTCTTCATAGTCTCGTCACAGTTTCTCCATAGACTCTCTTATGTTGAATACTACAGCTGCATCTCTTCACCCACTCAGGACTCCTCTTCCAGTCTTCTCTCACAGTGCATATCTCATCTATCAGCAAACCCAGTTTGTACTGAAGAGACAACTGATAATTTCTCACATGCCCTTCTCCTGTGCTGTTCCAAGACATCATTACCTCTACCCTTGTTTACTGAAATAATCTCTTAATTTATCTTACTGTTTTCCTTTTGGTTCTTTACCACACATTATGTACACATATAGAATGATTTTATCAATATACATCATATTGCATAGCCCTTCTGACCACCCCTTTTCAACTCAGAGTCAAAGTTTGTGATAACCTTTTATGATCTCTGCTTGATACTCTTGTTTTCACATTTTACTATTCATTTTCTTTGAGTAAACTGCCACGTGTTCTTGAATGTTCCTGGAACATGCCACACATATTGTTCATCAAGGATATTGGGTGGTTGTTCCTCTGCCTGGATTGTTCTCTTCAATGATAGTCACACGACTTGTTTTCCCTCTCTTCTCAGTTCTCTATATAAATATCCTTTTAGTGAGATCTTCTCTAAATGTTTTATGCAAAACTGACCTTTGTGATTCTGAATTAATCACCATTTCAAATGATACATTTTGCTAATCTATTTTGTTTTCAAATTACTTGATGACTCTTCTTAAAATGAAACTTTGTAAAGGAAAAGATTTTTTATCTGCTTAGCATATAGTTTAATCTTCAGTGCCTTGAGTAGTGCATCATCAAAACATATTTGTTGAATGAACACCTTATTCAACTTGGAATCATGTCAGTTTCAGTGTAAGAATTTATTGAAAGTAAACTGTTGGGGCCTGGATAGATGGTTCAGCAGTTAAAGCTGTATATTGCTTTCACGGAGGACCTGAGTTTGACTCCCAGCACCCAAGTTGAATGGCTTACAGCTGCCTGGAACTCCAGCTCCAGGGAATCAGGTGCCCTCTTCTAGCCTCCATGAGTACCTCACTCATATGCACAGACCCTCCTCCAGAGTTTCTCTCTCTCTCTCTCTCTCTCTCTCTCTCTCCTCCCTTCTCTCTTGCTCTACCACACACACACACACACACACACACATACACACACACACACACACTTGGGCACATAACTTAAAAATTAAAATAGAAAATTTAAAGTAAGCTATAATTATTTTAGTATCTAATCATCATTAGGATGTTAAACGGTTCTTAAACAAATAAATACTCAAGAGACCTATACCAGGGATCTATTCTTCAGCATTTAAACTTTCAGCATCATGTTTTGCTGTCCTCTTCTCTCTCTGAGTTCCAGGTTCTCTTACTGTCTTTCTTCACTCTAGCATACTATTGAAGGACCTCTGGCTGTATTTGTCTTTCTATCTCTACCAGGTAATTTGTAAAGTATACAGCGTTTTTATTGATTAATTTTATTCTTTAACAATTCCATACATGTATATAAAGCCATTATCCCCACCCCACCCCCGCCGTCATTATATGCCCCCTTCATTTCCACTTGTCTGTTTCCCAAATTCAGGTCTTTATGTTTTGATTTGTGACCCATTTAGTTCAACCAGGGCCTAGCCACAGTATTCAGAACAGTTTTAGTTTTGATGAGATTCTTATCAAAATGTCAATGATACTTTTCACAGAAATTAGAGAAGTAATTCTAAAATTCATATAAACCTACAAAATATTAGAAACCCAATGTAGACCACCAAAAAGGGCAAAGCAAGAGCTCTAATACTATTTGATTTAAATATATTCTATGATTTAATCTAATCTACTCGTAACACTCTGGTATGAGCATAAAAGCAGGTGGCCAGACCAATGAGAAGAACTGGAACATCTATAAGCAAATATAGGCTTGTACAGCTAAATCACAGGAGCATGGACTGGGCAAAAGACATTTATTTCAGTAAATACTGCTAAAAATGGGCCATCTATGTACTGAAGAATGAAAGTAGGCTACTATCTCTCCTGACGTAGAAAAATGAACCTCAAGTGAATAAAGTCTTAAAAATGGGACGTGAAATCATGAAGTTCTAGAGGAAAACAAAGAGAAAGTATACCAAGGATTGGGATGAGACAAACTCTTCATGGGTGAGTACCAACAGCACTGGAGACAAAAGAGTTTGGAGGAAAAAAAAAAAAAAACAGGATTCTGCAAAGTCATGAAGGTCAGCCCCCCAAAAGAAACCAATATCAGAATGAAGCAATAACCTTCAGAACTGGAGAAAGCACTTGTAATATAACAGCGAGTTAAAAAGAACTCTCTACCAGACTTGAAAGTAAATAAACTAGCCCAAAGCCTCGCTAATGAAGGTCTGCTTGTAATTTTCTTTGCGGATACAGGAGCCAATTTCAGTCTATTAATTATATTTCCAATGCACTGAAAAGAACATCATATTCAGAATTGAGAGCTGTGTGTTCCACATTAACTGATTCGCCTACCCTTGGCAAGTCATTTATTTCTCTGGACTTCAATGTCTGATTTATAAATAGGGGCTGTTATAATAATGTTTAACCTTGAAGAGGTTTTCAACATTAAGGTGCCATGCTTCCGTACTTTGATTCTGTGTTACTTTTACTAAGACCTACTTTAAGTAGGAAGTGTCATTTGAAAAAAAATAAAATTAAAATACAATTGCAAAATTTTTAAAAATTTGTATTTTCCAGTTCACAAATGAGAAAAAGCAGACAGATTTTCTATTAATGCTCATAGGAAATGTCTCAGAATGAATTCAACAAAATGTTTAAATATTAATACATTCTGATGTCTAAGGGTACAAGGAAGGCTCAGAACACATAAAATGCATAGTATCAGCTCTAATTCTAGTGATCTCATTGATTGTCTATTGTTACTTTGGATGATTTCCTTCATCTTTAAACAGATTGTAGTCATTCTCCTGAACATGTATCCTCTTCTACAAACCTAACTAGTTTTCAAAATGCTTAGAAAGAATTTTTAATTATTACTGTCCCAGGTTCTCAAATTTTCTCTTTAATCCACTCCCCCAAGTCTTTGTCCTCACTGCTCTGCCCAGCTTTCTCATCAATGCCATCAGTGACCTTCAGATGGTAAATGCAATGACCTTTCTTAGCATTTATGCTTTATTTATTGACCGTTACTCTTTCCAAGCTTTTGGACATATTTTCTTTTCTTGACCAGTAGCTTAGGGTTTTCTCCATAACTTAGTTGTTTTCTCTTAAGCTTCCCACAGATTTCTCTTCATAATCCTGACTCCTGAGTATTTGAGAGGCTCCACGGTTCACTTATTTCACTTACTGTGCCTTCTGTCTACAAATACTCAGTTACACGTCTCACAAACTATTTTAAAAACTAATACTATGCTATTGCTTGCCAAATTCATGTAACTCAAAAATACTTTCATGACTTTGCTTTTATTTGGTTCCTGCATTTGGATGTGTCATAGATAATACACAAACTAAATCATGATCTTTATCCACAAAAATCTTCTTCCAGCATTTTTTCTTCTCTCAGATAAATGAGCACTGCCAGTGTGACTATGGAAGACAAAAACATCAAAATCATCTGGAATGCTTGGCTTTCTCTCTACTTCAGAATGACCACACTGAGTAAACCCAAAATCAGCTAACACTTGAATTTCTATAACTTCTTTATCAATTCTAGGATTGATATATGCTGTTAAGTCAGTAAGAGAGTGAATCCTATATGATTATAATAAAGCTAAAATTCTCCACCACCAAGAGATAATATAGTTAGCTGAACTATGGTAATATGGCACATTCCTCATATATTTGTGGAGATGCTACTCCTAGCCTC